GTCCCAAAGGCATCTGTTTTCCTTGCAAAAAATGCACATCTTTGTTGAAATTTAATCCTATCCTTACCCTCTCATAATATCAGTTTTAAAACGAAAGAACCATTTTAACCTTAGGCAAGTCTTAATTTTAGGATCCTTATAGGGTTCTGATCCCAATCAATAGAGATTTGCAGGATCACTAAGGTCCATCTAACATCTAATTACAACTGAATTGTATATTTCTAGATTTCTAGGGTCTTAATATCCCAGATCTCTAATCTCAGGACCCAATACTCCAGAAACCCCATTGATCCTACTTAGGACACTGATTTAACAACTCAGTCCCAGGAATCAGCATGCCTATCTTGCCTAACAGACCTAGTTCATGGGCAAGTGGCCCAAGGGCCGCCCAACTCTCCCATCATTTGGACAAGCTTCACGACAATGTTTTCCACAGTAATTCTTATTTCTAACGACTGATTTCTTCTTTCGTGAGTTTTCTGTTCAAGATATTCAACAAAGTTGGACGATCAAGCAACTTGAGGCAATTCCATACATCATTTTAACTTCTATCTAAGGAAAGCAAAAAAAATCTCTCTTCTGATTCAAAATCGTGGTGTAACGTTTATCCCCCCCTGTTCTGGTCATGGAACAGATGAAATAAATCTAAAAATGCATTTTTGTTCAGGAATGAAATCTTATGGGTACTGTCCATATCCAGTTCATCCTTCAGAACCATATCACATCCTAGATCTGATGAAATAGGATGAATTGAGACGGTATAAGCAAAGTTAAATAATAAAAAAGGGAAAAAAATCTCTGATGTAACACGTGGCTACTAGCTCAAATTCACATTTGGAGCTGCTTTCTCTAGCAGTAAAGACATTTCCTAATTCCTTCTCCATCACGTTCTTTTTACAAATACACCGGAATATAAGATACACGAAGATATTCTAATGTAGGAAAACCGTAACAAGGGGCTTCGATACCAATTGAAGCAGTTGGAAAAGTAAAAGAAAGCAAAACGAGCCAAAAATAAGGCTAGATTTGAGAAGATTTGAAGCTGGCACAGAATCTAGAAATTTTAGTGTATATAAAAAGTGATGATGTTTATTGAATGAGAAAAAACAATAACACTACGACTAAACGCCTATTTATGCTAGGGCTACAGACGAAAGACGATCTCAAACCTTGAACTGAAATAACAACTTCTAATGGACCTCATTAAATGTCACATGATTGGCACATGACTGTTTATTAACCAAATTACGTAATAAAAGACCAAAGGAAAACAACAACACTTAAAATTACTAAATAGTATAATGTTCCTACATCATTCCCCCTCAGGTTGGAAAGAATCAAGCTTGATTGTGAAGACCTCTTCGGCATGATCTCAGATTCTCTAAATCAATCTTCTTTATCTCCTCTCCAAAAGTTCAAGTAGCTTCCTCACCTGCCTTATCCAATCGTTTCACTAGCTACTTTCTATCCACATTATCCTTCTTGGTCAGCATCCTTCTTCTTTGGTTGGAGAAAACCCGACCCCGAGACTTGAAGTGTTGAATCATGAGATATGGTGAATTCCTTTCAATCATCATTGATATTCGTACCACATCATCACAACAGTCAAAGTTCTCTTGCTTCACGAAAACTTGCCAACTGAAGCATTTAGTTAAACCCTCAAATCTAGCAGGCATAACAAAATCAATTACTGACCCAACATCTCTTAGTGACATCTTGTACAGTTCCGATGTATAATGATGAAGGAGAATTATGCTCTTTAGTAATCTTAGGTGTTTCTCCTTTTATTTAGTTTTTCCTTGTGTTATTAGGTTTATAAACAGTTAGTGCCAGTCATGTGACTTTTAATGGGCTCCAATTGTTAACATTAAAAGTTATTATGCTAGATCAACAGTTGATGCTGTCTTACATCTATAACCCCGGCATAAATAGCCTTTCATATCACTTTATTGTTAATTTTTTTGATTCAATAAACATTGTCGGTTTCTATCGACCCTAGATTACATCTGTTCTGTTCCAGCTCCCATTCATCTTAAATCTAGCCCTTGTTCTTGTTCTAGTTGTTATCTTTTACCTCTCCAACCACATCAATTTGGTATGAAAGCCCCTTGTTAGGGTTATTCCCCGAAAAATCGAACAAATATGCACCTTTCGGTGATGCATTATTGAATCAATATGAGAGAACCCATAATGTACTAATCTAAAGGTTGAGCCATTAAATTAGTTCTTAGCACGAATAACCAATATAAGAACCAACATCTAGACATTCACAATATGTGTACTTAAAATGAGCACCAACGTCTTGACTGACCAATGCCGGACAAGGAGAGAGAGAGGAATACCAAAGAGGAACATGAAGACAACTCAGCAAACACCGGCTAAATATCTGTTTAGTAGCATCGTCATTGTTCACAGTCATGAGAGCCTCTACGTATTGCTTCCAGAATTTCGCCTGGAGAAGGGAGGGCAAAGGCAGATGGATTGGTCACTTGCTCCACAAAGCTCTAAGTAGACAGCACCAGAAAGAAACAAACAAACTTGTTTTTGCAAAAGAGGTTCTACCTATGACATCGATACAATCACCTCACGATGCCCAACCACAATAAACAGTAGATTTATGGAGACTGTGACAACTGTTTTACCCCAATGCAAGTTCCCACAATCATACCGGTGATACAGCATTAGACGTAGAAGAAAGTGTCAACTCATACAGGTTTGCACCGACAAAGAAAATCTAAGATTCGTGAAACTTATTGAAAGCATCGCCATAATCCTATTGATCACGAGATGGTCAATTTCTTTATCGAAATCGCACAAAGCAATATCAGCCCTAATTGTGGCGTCTAAAACAATCTGCACCCACCTAAGATTTAAAGAGGATATTATTCCCATAAATAAGTCAAATGAAACAGGAGCCAGGAAGAAGGCAATTTGTAGGATCATTCTAGTATTGTACTCGACAAACTATCAGGACAGCCAGGAAACTGAGAATAATTACATCACTTAGGTCAGCAAAACTCCACCTCTAGAAACTTATAATAATCAAAACCTGCCAAGTTATTCATAATATCTTGTGCATCTGCAGCATGACACAACTAAAGCCCAAAGCACCCCTAACAAATACCAGAAAAAACCACATATAATAAAGAGATATAAAAAACAATAAATCAAACAAGTTCACAACCAGCACCATACGAAAAAGGAAAAGCCTAAAATCAGCAAATATGCTTGCTTTCATGCTTAAAGCAACTAAGATAATGCTCTTTTACCACTGACACCATGTCCGTGCAAAAAAAAAAAAAGGAACAAACTGGCTCGGACAACAAAAGCTAATTTGACATTATGCAACAATTATGCCTAGACAGCACAATGCAACCCAGTATCCTTTATCCACTGTTTTATTATGAAAAGTAGTCAAAGCAGCAAGAACCGAAAGCAAGACAACTTCTAGTATATTAGCAGCAACTTCGTTTGTATTGCAGCCCATGTTCGAAGTCAAAGCAAAGTGCAAAACTCGGCAACCAGCGCACAATTCGCGCGCGGAGCAGCGACGAATCGCATTGGGATATAAGAAACTCACGGCGGTTGGAAACACTGCCAGGAGCTGCTCGTACACGGGCGCCGCGTCCGCGATGGGAAGATGCTGAAATTTCCAGGGGGCGACGCTCAGAAAAAACCGATCCAATCCCTTCTCCAAGAGAGAACATAGATGATTACAGCTAAAGAACGCGGAGGAGAGATGGGAGCACCGTACCAGCGCATCGCTCGCCAAAGCCTCCGCCGCCTCGACGCTGTACTTGTCGGCCGCGGGGCTCGCAGCATCGGCCGCCGCCGTCGCCGCCGCCGCTTTGTCCTGCGAAAAATCAATCAAGAAGAGTCGAACCCCAAAAAGAGAAAGAAGCGATCGACCGAAGCTCGAAGGGCGAACAGCAGCTGAATTGTGTGGAGCACCTTCGATTCTGGAACGGAGGGAGTCTCCGCCGAAGCCATGGGAACCCGATTGAATGACCGGCGAATTCCTCTTTCACTTCGGCTCTTCGATCATCAGGGGGAATTTTTTAGGGATTTAGGGAGGAATTCGAACGAGGCGCGAACAGCGAACAGAGAACAGCAGCCGAGCGAGTGGAGAGAGTCGGTTTAGCGACGTCGGGCCCAACCGGATCGGCCCTGGACCGGATCGGACCGTACCGGCTCAGTGTTTGCTTCTGGTTCTGGATATAAAAAAAGGAAAAGTGGTCATTACAAAACCGGTCCTCGAATCACTACGCAAATTCAGTTTTGGCCCCTGTAGTATATATTATGCGCGTTAGTTCCCCTGACTTATCTTCGGTGGCAATTTAAGGATAGGCATTCGATTTTTGGGCGGAACATACTGAGTCTGCACCGGCAATCGTCACATAGCGTGTGTACAGGTTTCTAGAGAAAATTACCTTTTTGGTTTCTGTACTTTTAGAAGTGTCCAAATTCAGTACTCGTATTTTATTTTAGTGACAAAATCAATCTTAAATTCTTTCGTCGTATCTCAATCTGAAGTCTTTATGAGAATGTCAAATTAAGACCCCCTTTTAATTGGTGATATTTTTTTCCATAAGTGTGTGAAGTCCGATAGACAGTCCCATCAAAATTAATTCCATCAAATGCAATGTGGCATCTTCATTCTCGGTATGAATTCCTAGGTATATAGGACTGCTCTTAGGGGAAAAAAAAAGTAGATAAAGTTCATATATTCGAACACAGCTAGAACTCATGTTTCATAGGCAAAGCATTTTAGGCAATTTATATGAAAATCTTCGAATTACAGTATTGTCCACAACTGCGCATCATGTTGATTGTAAAGACTTTGTTCGTGTTATAGGAGACTGTTAGTATCTAGTATCAACCTCAACTCTTGATATTAAACGATCTTTAAAGTAGGGGTGAGCGGTTCCCAAAGGCCTGTAAAACAACAAAGGTATTTACAGTTTTACACAGCTCCACATTGACTTACCAGGTTGGCTAGACGCCTCGAATTTTCATGGAGCATAGTAACACATGTTTAAACCATCTTCATGTACATTCTTTCGGAGCCAGCCGGAAACTAATCAAGTCATTAATTTACACAATGCGTGGGACAGGGATTGTTGCTACTGTGGGATTAGTTTAGACATCTGAACTTCGGATATCCTCATCCTGAAAAATGCAGGACAAAGTGTAAATTGCTCCAACGGCACGGATAGTTGAGGAAAAATGCAAGCACGTCCCTTGCGTTTCAAAATGTGCACTTACCCCCTAATAATAGCAGCGTTGTTGAATCCTAGGCATTTGTACAATCCCGTTATTTGTAAACTCTAACCGAGCTGGCATCAAAATCCTACGTCCCATCATAATGACCAAACAACTTCTGAACCCGCCCGCCAGTTTCCTTGATCCTTTCCCCTACAAAACTTGGAATTGATCCATGCCTCTATTTGGTTGGTACATCAGTACAAATGATATTCTTCCCAATTACAGGGAACTAACATTTACAAATAATGTAGTCATTCTGCACATTTACCTGCCTCTCCGAAGATCGAACTAGAAACGTGCCCGTCTGCCAAACTGGATCCACATAAGAGAGAACGCAATGTCAGAAACACAGACAAAGTTTTCTAGACATATGTTTGAACTAATAAGACAATCCGAAACTGTTCTAACTTTGCTTTTCAAAAGAGTTTCCTGAACATTATAGTTTTAGAATACTTAGAAAAGACATGTTGGAATCTATTCCTGAAAATTCTAGTTGTAACTGTTCTAAATAAAAGCTGATCAATAGATGTATTCTCAATCAACATGAACAAATATGCTTAAAGTCTTAAACCACCTACTGCATCTAACTACTCAGCGGACTCTGCCCACTAATGTAACTACTGTTGTTCCACTATCATTGGCAACTACAGTCCTGCCACCATCCTCGCCACCACCATCACCAACACCGCAAATACAGGGCCACCTCCAACACCACCACAACTAATGTCGTCCTAGCATCAACACCAATCCCAACACAGACACTGTCAACTTGAGAATGCTGAAACCGGAGTTCCAAGTTGATGTCAGACTCACACTCTCTCCGCTACCACTGTCATCATTTAGCTGAAGTGGCCCTCAGAACTTAGAAGAGAATTCCTCTACATGTGCAAAATCGTCGATACGACGGATGATTTTACGTTCGTTATTTATCAATGGGAAGATACTATGTCCTGTCAAGAACCTTTTCAACTCCAAAAGCAGGCAATCTAGCACTCATTCTACCAATAGAAGTCTGATTTATGGCTAGTACTTACATGGGAAGCCAGGTTCTTATTATGCTGAACTGACATCAGCTCTTCATTGGTGGTAAGTGCTGGCTCAGGAGAATCCTGGAAGCCAACTCTGCTCTTGGAACGCATTCCTGCAAGTGGATGTTCAAACACAATATTATTGTTTTTTTTCCATACATGTGAAGTTTTGCATCAAGATGAATGGTTTTCGAAGCAGAGAAAAAGGACAATTAAGAAGATATTCGGTCAAACAGTGTCTCAAAAACTTAAAGTTCGCCAGGGGCAATATTGAGCAAGGCAAGCGAGATAATGACTGGGAGCTTGAGCATAAGCATGTTACTTTGACAATTTAGCGGGCCAGGAAGAAGACATGTAGTGACAATTAAAAAGCAGACAATAGTTTTAAGATTTATATAGTTGGGTATGAAAACTCTTTTCTTCCTAAGAACACTAATGACACTTTTGATTTGGCTATCTGAGGATAATAACCAACATAATGCAACAAGATGCCATCACCATAAAAGGAACTTAGCAATCCGAAAAAAGAAAATACATTACATCCCTATGGTACAATAGGGAGGTTGTTGCGACATGCTTTTAGTTTCATTATGTCACAATATAATCTACTGAAAGCACCTACAGGCTAATGTATTCTGCACCATATATGCATTGAAGTAGCATGCCAAATTTAAAATACTAAAGAGTTTATTCTTGTTCACTTGTTTACACATAAAACATCCATTCTAAACACAATGGATCCATGGTGGGGCAAAGAATCCCCAAGTGATTTCTGAAAATCTCCAAGTTATATGGTCTGGTCCTTAACGACAGACCAAATAATACAGTCTAATCCTCCCCCCCCCCCCCCCGGGACAAAATAAGTCTTTAATAAGCAAAGTTATAAAACTTGTACACCACTATATTAGTAATTTTTCTATGAAGACTTACGCGATGTTCATTTCACAAGAAATAGTTGACAAAAGAAATATATCTATCCTCATATCGGCGATAGTAATTAAGTGAGTAGTGTCAGTGTTTCTGTACCTTGAAAAACAATGATGACAAAGACAAGAAGAGTAATTATCATGGCAGTAAGGCTGCTGCTTGAAGACGATGCAGATGCATTGGCTGCTTTATTCTTCCTCAGAGCTTTTATCCGCTCGATTCTTGTGCGCTTTCTTGTAGCAACCTCTGCAATGTCCTTGACGAACTTCTGGTCTGCAGCATCTAAAGCCGGACCTTTTGGTGGTCTTGGTGGCTTGGGAGGTTTTCTTGAATTGGTGGTAGGTCGCTTTTCATTCACGTATTTCTTGTCCGAGAAGGGAACATGTTCTTGGCTACTTTCTCTTGATTTCCTGTCCACCAACACTTCTAGGTTCTCATTTGAAACCTCACCAACAGATGAAGTGCTGCACAATTCTACACTACGTTCTGGTTCGCTCTTGATCGATCTGTCTATGCTTAAGCTCCCACCCAAAGACCTTTTGAGACACTTGTGCTTTCGTGAATTTTTTACCGAAGCAAGTTCTTTGCTTCCATCTTCTTCACCGGTGGCCCCACCGCTTTCAAGATCGATTTCCAGCTCGCTGTCTCTCAATTCTAAGTTATCCATTACAGTGTTTTGTTTCACGGTACTTCTCTTTCAACCTACCCGATAACTGAAGTTACCAATTCCACTAGAAACCTTGACAAGCAGTAATATCGAAATAGCTTCTGGTTATTACCAACTCATACGGAGGAAATTGTCCCCAAAAGGCCAGCACTTCCCATTCCATGAATTAGCTCAAGATACGCAACCCATTTTATTCCACAAAATCAGGACTTTGCCGATGAGGGGAGAAAGGCCACGCCATCCAAAAATTCAGTAGACACAAAGTTCCAAAACCAGCTGCACCTGTAACATATCAACTGCCAAACACCAGCACAAAGTCCCACGATCTCATCATCAGCACATTGAATTTCGCCTGGCACCTAGCCAGAAACCTAGCCCGTCCCAACAATCTCAAACCTGCCACCAGTATACAAGCCGCATCCCCAATACAAATCTGAAGCAAAAGAGCAAGAAACACACGAGACGAACGATTTCAGAGAGTCAAACGAGCAAAATGCGGCGCATTTCATTCGGCATATCTCAGAGCAAATTGACAACAGACGTCAACAAACATCAAAACTATCGCAGAGAATACAATCAAGCTGCTAATCTTAAAAGCCAGAACTCCTCAAAAACGACAATGCAGCTCCCAAGATCGCCACGGCTCCTCCACCCAACGCTTGAACAACGATCGACGCATACAAAAAAAGAACCCACGTAACCACTTCGGATTGCCAAGATCAGAACAGCTAAAAAAAAACGAACAAAACGAACATCTACGTCTTCGTCGAATTCCAGCTAAACATGGAAGACAGAAGCTGAATTACGACCAAAAGCAATCAATGCGTGTTACCTTTCGACCAGTTCGATCAGCCCTAAATTGGAGAGCGATTCGCATTGCAGAGATATCCTTCCATGTGAACAGAGAATTTTGCTCTGGGAGTCAAATTATATCGCAATTAACAAACGAATGCCGATCGTAACTGACTACTTTTCCAAATATGGATAAAAAATGTTTAGTTACATGAAACCGGCTCTGGCCAAAAATAAAAAATTAAAAAATAGAAACGAGCGATTAAAAAAGAAAAAGAAAAAGAAAAACATGAGACCAGAACGATTAAAGGGGCCTGTCGTTTTGCTTCCGTTGACGAAGACAAATGGGGGGGAGGTGGGGGCGCGTCATGTCGTTTCGTGAGCCGGCAACGGCGACTTTCGCCGTCTTGTTTGCCTGGGTCTATGGCATATACTTTATGCTTGTCATTTTATCCTACGTAAGACCTATTTGTACACTTCTGTTGAAGGAAAAAGGAAATATGATCACAAATAGGTAAGATTAAATTATCAAAACATTAAAGAATATCATAAGTCAAAAGGGAAAATGAATTTATTTGTTAAACTTATTGGTTTGGTTCGATTTTTATTAGTTTCCAAAGTTATAAACCAAAACCAAGCCAACAATAACCAAAAAAAAAAAAACCCCAAACCCAAACCAAACCAATCAATAGATAAACTTCCGACCAAAATAGTAACCTGATAAACAGGACTTATCGGTTTGGTTCGGCTCGATTTATTAGTTTTCGATTTTTTACTAAACACTTTGATCTTTGGTGTATCCATTTTTCTTTAAAAGAAATTGTCTCATATAAATTTTGAGTATAATAATATGCACTGTCGTTGTAAGACAACATTTCCACAAGTGACCTCATATACCATTGGTTTGAAAGAGTGGGCAATCATCATTCTCAAATCAAATATGGACGAGGCTACGTATATAAAATTTCCTTTAAACGAGCGGTGTATACTATATTCATGGGTCATGTCTACATTTGTATGAATATATGCTTTCACGAGATTTAATGCCCTCATAAGGTTTATTCTATTCAAAGCAATAAATAATTAGGAGCAAAGACATTTCTGTACTATTAGCTTAGAAAATCGACGGTTGTTTTGCCAGTTCCCTGTAGCCAGCTAATTACGATCGTGCCCCTAATTTGTATATAGAAATAGTCGAGCCGAACTTCTTGCTACTGCCCTCATTAATAAAAATAAAAAGCATTGGGGAGAAGTTTTGTTGAAAGACAAAACAGTCACTTCGACTCCTTTTGATCATATTAAGCCAATTAGAATTATCCAGATCTAACCACGAGAAGAACAACCATGATATAAAGAAATGATAAAAGATATTAGTATAAGCTCCGAATTAACCTACTCTATTTGGATTAAAAAGTGAGCCAAACAAAAAAATATAAACAGAAGGACTCGAAAAGTGCACTTAAATCAATAAGAATATGACGTCAACCGTTCATGTAAAAAGATGGATTCAAAACATTAGGGGATCAAACTTGTGGTTAATGAAAGCACCAAACATAACCGGTTCGAGGATCGGCTAACCGTCGACCTATTATCAAGGTCTTTTTACCCCATTTTTTTTAATCTGGAAATGGGAAGTTGCCACCGTGAATAGGTGATGTCAATGATTACATTACACATAATTAAATAAAGGTCCACATTAAGTATAAGAATAGGGCATTCACGTTGAAATTATTATGCATCGAATTGAATTTTTAGGACTAAAGCAACTTAAGCATGGAGTATCCATCTCTGGCCAGAGTCAAGTTAATTTTTTGAGTTCCTCTGCTGTTATATGATTAACGACAATGATGAACTGCAATTGGCCGCTTTTGAGGCATGCCGGAACCATATGATCGGCATTGACCTCAAAACGGAATTGCAAACACCCCTGGAGCAGTGAAGAACCCTACATCCTTTGCGAGGAAATTCCAGTACATGCACTCAAAGAAAACCCCTCCCACTTGTTGATAGTGTCCAGACGACATTGATCTGAGTATGCCATCAATCATCCTCGCAACGAATTATCACAGATGGAATGCATTTAAAATTCCATGAGCCCAATGTCAGTAGTCACCAGGAAACGCTCAGACAAGAAAATTTAATCCCGAGATTATATGAAGTGGCCGATTGAAGCTAACAAGGACTATTGGTAGCAAGTTAGCAACACCAGTCTCCAAATTCTGCTTCGAAGTGAATCTGACCAAGCGATGCAGGGCGAAAAAGTGGTGACCGAACCTGGGTCTGAGAAGTCACCTAACTTATAAATGCCGCATCTCCTCATTGATTGAACCAATATCTGAACTGAAAGATAGAACAGAACAAAGACCCCCGCTTTGATGAATTACAATCCACACTACAAGAGACAATCCACAAGTTCTCAATGCAAGAACTGGGACCAGACCCTCACGGTATAGAGTCAACATCATCTTCTGGGGATGGTGCACACCGCATTTGCCTCACTTAATGTAGAAGATCCATTTTATGCACAAATTACTATAACTCTCTGGTTAACACTCGCAACACCTTCACGTACCCTCTAAAGTCTCAGCATTGGGCAAAATATGTACAGACTACAAAATTTGGGAACCTGTCAATTCTGGTCCAAGGCACAATCAAGATGTTAAAGTAGCATAGACCAAACCTAAGCATTGGAAGTTTCACCTAAGATCCCTTGCTGTATATACAATTATATTAAGGCCACACCTTACCACACAATTGACACCGTGTAATCACACGAACGGAAAGGAAGAACAATGTATGCCTGGAACTGCGGGTAAGGGCTAACCCAGCTTTTCGTGATTTTTTATACTGGTGCTCACACAGGAACCAAGTGCACAAACAGGAGGTGCAGAGAGTAATTACTGAACTGTCTAATCACATTTGATACAAATAACAACTTTCCCGCAAACAGTTTGGCACCTCTAGAGCAGATTCACAAACCATCGATGGCTGGGTAAAATTAAAATAAACTAGACAGTACCTTCAACTTCGTAGACACGAGCACTGAAAAAAATAAAATTGACAGTCAATGAACACTGCATCTTGAAACCTGTAACTTGCTTTGCTGCTCTGCCAACCTTGATCCCTACCCTCCTCTCAATATGTGTCACAGATTTGCCAAAAGAAAGGAAAGGAAGAAGTATCACGCTGTACTTCTATGCCAATACGCTTTGTCAGATATTGTCTGGCGCTAGAATAAAATTCAGAAGCATTCGCAAGTCCAGTTACTATCAAGCATTACTGCATCAGATACATGCTCGAAAGCACTCGTTCCGTTCCTTTACAAAAGGCTGAGTTCAACAACCAAACATTGAAATAAAGAGTGCCCAGACAATGAATCGGCTGAACTGTTCTCCAATTGTGTCTAGAAACATGACATACTCACCTAAACAAAAGCTCCATTGCGGCCCAAACCTATTCAACCAGGATGCAGACCCTGAAATTTTGTAATCAAATTTTAAAACGAACTAAAAAAGGAGAGAGATCTCGAAGATCGAAAAAATAACACCTATAAAATGATATCTCTTGCTCATTTATTCCCTTGACTACACAGAATTTCGTATAAGATGGTTGCCGTACCACTAGAGGTATTCTAACCATCACCACTGGTCCCAATGTATCAGAAGGAGCAGACCGAAGATTTAAAAGGAACCAAGCATAAATCTAGCTAAATTAGAAAGACAACTCACCCAGCATACTCGCGGCAAGCAAGATTAATAACGTGTATACGTTTTTCCATAACCTTGTCTTTGACGCTGAAAGTCACCATAGGCACCTTGAAGCCTTGAAGGATAAGTTTCCATATGGTTTGAATAAATATTCCTTGAATCAACGGGTATACCCCCTCCAGCATATTGAGGATTGACCGAGCCATCAAAGTCAGAATAACCTTGTTGCTTATAACCACCAAAACCAGATCCAGGCATTTGCTGGCGTGCCTGTTGCTGATGCTTTTGGGCATCGAACTGGAGAAATTCTTCCCACTGTTTTGCATGCATACCCCTCATGATAGCTACTTTCTTCAAATAATTCTCCCTTATTTCCCGTATAGCCTTAAAGCCGTAGAACCAAAACGAAAATATAAATTATAGCTGAAGGAGAATGTTAACAGCCATAAACAGCAGTAATATTGCGTCAAGGAAAAAAAACGAACCTATAACATAAAGCAATTCATCTATAATTGGAGATTGCATCAAGCCAGAAACATGTTGCACATTATAGCAGGACAGAAGACAACTTTAAGGAAGACAAAAGGCACTAATGAAGATTCTAGCTGGTGTTATTGATGCTCATAAATATCTTGTTATGCATATCTGTCAAGTACAGAGTCAGGTCAACTGCCACCTAAGAGAACCAACTAATAATCAGAAAAGAGAGACACAAAGGCTGAAATGACCCAAAATAAATTTTTGCAAGCCACATTTCCTAAAGGAAATCCCTCAAGTTTGTACAGAGAAAGCTTCCACTACCCAGCTCCCAACTCTAATGAGAACCGGTCATACCCTTCAGCAAGTAAATGGACATCAATCTTATGGCAAGAGCCAAAAGAATAGGGTATAACTCTTTTCTTTTCCCAACGCAAAGTAAAAAAAGATTATGTTCACAAGCCAGTGCAACTAAAGCCTAAAGGTGATGTTCAATGTATTTCCTTCCAAAAAGCCCACGGCCAATCAACCAGCTCTAATCCAGTGGAATCGTTTTAGATAGCTCCAAACATTATTATGCTTTTTCTTGCTTTAAGCGCAAAGTGTGCAGATAGTGTGCTAAACTCTTGACATATTTGAGCAGCTTGGCATTACCCAAAGCATTATCATGAGACGCACTTCTTAGTACTTACCTCACGATGTTTATAATTCTCTTCATCTTCTTCCTTATCTCGAATTCTCCCGAGATCCATGGCCTCCGTCTTATATTCTAACTCTAATTCTTCCAATGTCTGTGGACGGGAAGGCAATTCAAGCTGACTTCCAGATTGCATATCTGATGCCCTTCTCTCACTATCCCAACCATCAGTCCTATAAGCACCCATGTTCTGATTACGACCATCATAAGAGCTATATGAGTTGCCTCTGTATGGGGGACGTGCTGGAGATTTTGAACGGCTTGAATGATCTCTAGCCCTATCATTACCATAAGCTTCACGAAAGGAAGAGCGTGTTAAGCACTTGATACGAGGTGCTATTCA